ACCGCTCTGGCTCCTCTTCTGACAGCTGCTGCCTCTGAGTGGTTAAGGCAGTGTCGCTGACAACCATGATGGTGCATTGGTCAGGATACGGGTGCAAGTTCTTGTTGTTCTTGCATTTGTCCAGGCTATTGCCCTGCTCTTTGACCACATGGGTGTAAGCAGCACATTGGGGACCAAGGATTCCAGCTTAGGAAACTCTTCAAGTACTTATCCTGGATAAACTTACAGATGATGTTCAGCTCATTCTCCATCTCCACAGTCAGGTTGTTGGCACTGACAACTGAGCCAGTACTCTGGGGCTGCCTCCACCCGCCCCATCACTTCTGAAGCTTTGGCTTGCTTGCTGATATACTCCTCAATTGTCATCATAGTCTCAGCAAACATCTTGTTGTCCTATAGCTTGGCAATGCTCTTGACTGAATCCCCAGAAAGATCCAGTTGTGCCTCCTACACATCCTCAATTGCTGGTTCCTCTTCTTCCTCCCCTTAGCTTCCTCCTTCTTCCTTTTCTTCTGCTTCTTCTAGGTCAGCTAAGGGCTCGTCTGCCAGAGACATCATCCTAAGGCCTCTTCTCTGCCCGCACAAGATGGTTTCTATGAAATAAGCTTCCCGAGAGCGGTTGATGCTTATTGATGACGTGTCACAATTGTGCAAGTGTTGAGATAAAGCTGCTCTCTGATTGGCCGATGCCATGTGCACTCCTGGCTGCGTTTGGAACAACTTTACTGGTGTCTGCCTCTTGCCAAAAAAGCCATAAGCAGAAAAGAGAATTGGCAGCTGTTTGGACTCATGGCCCTCAGTGGACTGAGCCTGCTAACCAGAGAACCTCAGTGGCTGGATGACCAGGTGATGAGGCAAGCACAGATGGTGGCAACTCAGACAACTGGTGTCAGTGTTAGAAGAGAAAACAAGGCCTTTAAGCAGGGACTAGGGTAGAAGTTGAGGGGTGGAAGGAAAGGAAAGAAATATTCTACTTCTTGATTAGAGGAGTGGTTACAGGTAAACTGTGTCAAACTCATCACAGTGTACACTAGAAACCTGAATTTTACTGAATGAATATTTACCTTGATGAAGTTTATATTTTAAAAAGTCAATTTAAAAAAAAAAACACAGAAGTGAAAACCAATGTGATTTTATTTATTTATTTATTTTAATTTTTTTTTTTTTTTTTGATACAGAGTCTCACTCTGTTGCCCTCAGTAGTATGTCATGGCATCATAGCTCACAGCAACCTCAAACTTTTGGGCTTAAGTAATTCTCTTGCCTCAGCCTCCCAAGTAGCTGGGACTACAGACACCTGCAACAACGCCCAGCTATGTTTTAGAAATGGGTTCTCACTCTTGCTGGGGCTGGTCTCCAATTCATGACCTAAAGCAATCCACCTGCCTCAGGCTCCCAAGCACTGGGATTACAGGCGTGAGCCACCATGCTCAGCACCAAGGTGATGTTAATCAGGAATTTTAAAAGTATTTTTGCTGGTGATTACTTTGTGAGAGTTACTTACAAAAATGGAAAAAGAATTTGAGGGTAAGGCACAATTATAAGAGGGACCTTACCTAACAAATGCAATCAATGTAACCTGGTATCTTGTACCCTCAATGAATCTCCAACAA